ACATTCCGTTATGAAATTCAGACTTAATTCAAATAAAATGAAGTTACTCACAAAATAATAAATAAATCAAAGGAATTTATAATAACCGTGCTTTCCAGTCATCTCAACAACATAACATTTTACATGTAGAACATTTTCAAAATGCTTTAATATTCCTTTGGTCTGAACAGGAATTGCAGCAGCAGTGCATTCCACATGACTTAATTTATTTCTTTGTCTTGTTGGCACTAAGCCAGTGAGACGCTCGTTTCTTCTGGATAACATAGACATAGGACTCAGGTTTTGTCAAGACAGCCTTCTGGGATAACTTTAAAATGAAACTTATCATTTAGGATACCTTGTCTGCTGGCCATTTTTGCTCATTCAAAGCACGGGTCTGTTATGCTGCGGTCTCTCCCAAAACTTAGTGTTCCTGAAGCTACGGAAAGCCCTGAGGGTAAAACAAACAGTACAGCGAACGCTGGGGAAAAATAAAGAACAAAAGCGCACGGTGCGTTTGCTTTGATGCGCGATTAACGTGCTTTAAAAAAAATGTCGCCGTTATAGTCTAAAGCAGTTAACGCGTTAATAACGCTTTAAAACTGACAGCCCTATAATATATATATATATATATATATATATATATATATATATATATATATATATATATGCAACTATTTGCATCCTCTTTCCCAGTCTGTTAAACGGCAACAAAATCTGTTTACGGTTAACATTAACATCTACAAAAACTTGCAGTGAAAAAATTTGCAGTGATTTCTGTGCTGACTACAAACCAGTCAACAGAACATTCTGCATAATTTTGAAGCTCTTCATAACATTATTTTAACCACTACATCTTTAACGGTTGTTATTTAACCAAACTAGTCCATCTGTATTTGGCTGTTATTGTGAATAGTTTAAATGGCCACAACAAATCCACTTGAAACACATGAAAAAGCATAAATGAAATCAGCTGCTGTTTCTTAACCACTTGGAGGGGTCTGACCCGCTGTTGCTGAAAGTTGCCTTAACCACCTTTCCACTAGTACAGAGTTAAATGGATTCACTATAAATCAAAGTTTTTTCTGCAGTAATTGTTACGTGGATCCATTACTACTTTCAGAGGATGCTAACTTCTGGTTCCAGCCATTCCAAGGCTACCAAGGTCACCTTGCTATTAAAGATCCCGCCCCGACTGAGATACTACTTCTAATAGGAGATGAATGAATCTAAATGGAACTGTGTCAACCTGAATAGATGAGTTACAGATGGAAAAGAGGCCTTATTGTGGCGGTATGATTCTGTAGATTCGGAGGAGCTACAACGTGACAACGGTTCAGAGAGGTTTAATTCTTCCCAGAGGAAGATTTTAATTATTATTTATACTGCTAAAAAAAAAGGAGATGAACTTCTTAGAACTTATTTGACTTTAGGTTTGAATCCTAAAATGAGAAAAAAGAAAAAGAGGAAAGAATTGGAAAAAAAAATACCATCAGCTTTGAACAAAAAACAAAAACAAAAAACCAAGGCCTTTAGGTTAAGGACTGACATGTTTATTCATGTGTTTATTATTTCTAAAACAATAGCCCGATGCTACAATACAGTGATGGACAGCATTCAGCATAAATCAATAAATAGTAACTGGAACGGCAGAGATTTTAGTCTATAAACAGTACTTTGTGTAACGAGGAAGCTGGAATATGAAAAAATAATGTACTGCAAAAAATGTAAACCGACATAAGTAAATCTTTATTAAATCAAGTGCATTTGTTCTTGAATTGAGCAGGTAAGTGAGACACTGCCAATGGAATTAGAGAATTTACATTTAAAATAAGAAAAAAACTGCAGTCTCCTATTTCAAGTGAATCTCATTATCTTTTTTTTAAGGCTAAATACACTCATCCCATTGGCAGATCGTCCGATTTACCCACTCAAATAAAGGGTAACAACTTATTTGAAGGATTTTAGGATTGTTTTTGCAGTGTGTTGCATTTCTTCTGTCCTTGCTGTCAGGATGGTGTTAACACTGGGGAGTTTGAACTCATCAACAAGCAATGGCCTCCTGCGTATTCATGCTCACAACATGGCAAAACATCATTATGCCAAAAATACAGCGCCCAGTTGTTTTATTGTGTAACCTGACCTGGAAATGAACACTGACTAGATATGGTCTGAATTCTTTTTCTGCATCAGTGATGAAATTACAGTTGATCCTTAAACAGTCAGCATCCCTCAACTACTCACATTTTAATGTTTTTATAACTCGACTCTAAATAGAAAAAAATGATCATATGCAGCTTTAATGTAGCAGCCACTTTGTTGCTCCCTGAACTCTGCTCAGTTAGCATAGTTGACTGCAGGTGTTGGTACATGGAGCTCTCACACCCCTCTGAGATAATTTAACCACAACAGAATGCTGGCAACAGCCAGCTTAGAGTCTGAACAGTTATTTTATTCTTACACATAAAAGAGAACTATGGAGAGTATGAATATCTATAAAAAATTGTCTGGTTTTGCGTTCAAGAGGTAAAAACAGTAACACTATATTAACACATTCAGGTAGAGCTCCTGTTTGTTGAAGTTGACACATAAAGCATACTAAAATAAAGCCTGAACTTCATCAAATTAAAGCTTTATCTTATCCTCAATTTAAATTGAACATAAGAAATGATTGGGAAACATCTCATTTTCTTTCTGGGCATGAGTTCAGTGAGCAGGTTAGTAACACTTTTGTCTCTTTGGTAAACAGAAGCAGATTGGTAACATGAACTTGCAGCTTGTTGCCTGGAAACGGATGTGGTGCTCTGGTGAAGAAAAGAAACTTGAATTTAACACCACAAAAAAAAAAAGAAAGAAAATTAAACATGAGCTGCATGTTTTGGAATCAGGTGAATATTCTTGTTGTCCACCTTCAACCTCCTGACACGGTCCATCTTTAATTTATGACAAGCACATTTTCTGAAATAATGTTCCATCTCAATGGCAAGTAGAGAAACTAAGGAAGAGAAGTTATATGCAGCTTTAAAGCAGTCCGTGCTGAACAGCTGAAAACTGGCATGCAGGGCTCCTGAGAAAGGGCATAGATGAACAGGGGGGGGAAAGCTTCTTTGTCTTCGGCAAAGCAATTTTCTTTGAGCTTGTCTGAAAAGGTTATAAGGCCAAG